GATCAGAAACGGCAGAACAAGGATTGTTATGTTTTGTGTACTTTTGTAGAGTGGGTAATTTACAGTTTTAAGTGTTACATTTGTTGAATACGAGTAGTTTACCGTGAATCGCAAAGCATTTATATTATCACCATTGATTCAAGTGCATTACTATCATATGGTTTAAATAACTAATTAGTGCCATATATGGACACAAGCTAATGCAAAACAAATTATTGTTATATTTAAACAAACTACGAATCAAATGATATTTCACGCAGCAGCTCTGAAAATTGTTAAGGTAATCATTTTTAGATCACTTTAGTGAAAGCAGAACTCTCTCCCATCAACATGCAAGCTGTCAAAATCTCAGAATTTTGATGTTAACAAATTGCCTACGGTATATAAAGAGTCCCAATAAAGGATAAATGCATTTTTTTAGACTAAAAATATTCGATTTATTTATTCAAACCAGCTATCTGAAGTTACAATATAACAAGTAAAAGTTAACATTATTGCTAAATTTCCAAAACGTAAAAAATATAGAAATTGTGTTTTTTTATTTAGTTAATTTAGAGACGTTTTATACTTACTACTTGAATACTTAACTCAGAAATTTGAAAGCCTTGGCTAGAGTATAATAGAGTTAAATGTTAATAATGGCACTTAACTGTTTATTTGTCAAGTGTCTAAAACTTTGGATGACACGTATAATCGTGTCAGTCAATTGCTTGTTAGTATTGATACGTCTCATAATATATCAAAACTGAACAATTAACGATGATATATTGAATTCACTCTGTTAAGCACCTCGTTGTAATAGCACGCATTTCCTCTGAAATAAATTCCAATGGTAGCCTATTTTACACACATACAAATAATTATTCAACTTAGTAATAAATTTGACAGTTTTAAATTATTTTAATCATTAACAATAATAGTATTTTGAAATATTCGTTTTATTTGATATATTTTATATGTTTTATGTATTTATATTTTATATTTACAGTATTGTTTGGTAGCATTTATTACTTTATGTAATATTTTATATGATTTTCAAGCGAGCAAATAATCAAATAATAATCTCTCCTTCAATGCTCACTGATATAAATATTGTCGAGTTCCTTTCTGCAAAATTATTCTAAATGTTAATGAAAAAAAAAAAAAAAACTGTATATACTTACAGTGAAATTTTATTCATCACGAATAAAACAGCATTTTTTGTGATCTGTTATGCGGTTTTCTTAGATTTCATAGATGAACGTGCGTTACAACTAAACAATTAACACAGCCAGTTTTTTTTTTTTTTTTTAACTTAGTTGTCTTTTATTATTTAGAATCCTCATCCAACTTTTGTTTATTAATTCTGTCTTATAAGATAAAAATGCAATTACAGCCCAAGTCAATTGTTCTCCATAGGCACTGCCTTTAAAATATTTACATGTCTCCAGGGCATAAAATATATGATTTTTTAAACTCTTTATAAAAAAATCAAACCTTATGGAAATATTGACATTTGAAGCCGCCTCTTCGCCGGCTGCTTCTGCTTGCATTCGAAACTTTAACTAGGTGGCTGCGTTATTCGGTGCTAAAAATTTTTCCAGAAATAACTAAAAATAGAATAAATTAAAGCAAAAATAAGAATAAAATTTATTATAAATTACAATATATCGAAATTAGAATAAATAAAAATAGATCCGTCAATTCTAATGAGGTATACCTTTTGTGTTTCTCATTTTATGCTGGTTTAAATACAGAATGATTTAATTACTACAGGCTACAGATTTCGAAGACTTGTGAATAGTCTAGTCCTAAGGGAAATTAAGTATGTTTTCAGTTTTCAGTGGAATTTCGTTCACTAGATTTAGTTATCGAAGCAGCTGATTCCTCAAAATGTCATCATAAAACATAAAACACGAAGTATCTAATTAATTAACGGAGATGATAAAAAGTATGTAAATGTATGTAAAGATTATGTAAAGAGACATTTTATTTAGACGAATTTCGAGCTAATGGCTGTCGCCACAATAATTCAGCTCAGCAACAAAACGTTGTAACATCATTATCGTTGTTCTAAGCACAATTATTATTTAGTTGTCACATACCAAAAACATTGGACGTATAATGTGACACTCCTGACCAAAGTGTCTTTTTACACTCGATAGGTTGACAAACCCGACAAACCTCGAGCTTCAGCATTTTCCTCTCGTTTAACAAAGTTCCAATTAGCTCACTAGTTGTACTAATAATTAATTGTAACTAACAGAATTTAATTTTATTCTACAATTTCCAGCTTAACTCGAATTTTTTTTATTTATGTGGAAAGTCAATTAGGCCTACCTACTCTTGGATAAAACGAACTATTTAAGGTTAAGAATACACAAATTATTCAAAAGCATGCGCATATGAAAATGCCTTATTAACGTTTCTTACAAACCATGGAAACCAAAGCCATAACCTAACACCCATACGGAAGTTGAAGGCTTACCAAAAACCAAATCTAGAACCATTTTACACCTAACTGACTGTTCTTCGATCTTGTAGTTTCAAAGCTATAATACCCAAAAGTATCAATTATATTAAATTGAACCTTCTTTGTTAGCTGCTTCCTATTTAAGCTTATTAAAATACAATACTTCTTTCAAAACACTTTATGGAAGTTTCTTAAAAGCCTAAACAATAAACTGCACACCTACACCAAAAGTACTTTACCGATAAACAAATCCAGAACCGATTTATACCTCATTAAACTGAAACGCAACCGGTTTCGTCGAAGAATAACAGCCAGGTATAAAGGATAGGAGCAAAACGGCGAGATCTAACAAGAAGAAGGAAACATAAATAAATAAAAACAAGACCAGTGGTACAGTAAGGTAGAGTCTAGAGGTAGTGCTAATAACCGCGCGACGATGTACGTGTAAATCAAGGGAGCAATGTAGCTACCCACGCTGGACCCTGGACGGCTGGCTCATGCATCACAGATAGCAGGGAGGAACAGAGAAGGCGCGAATGCGACGAAAACCTAATTCATTTTGTACAAAACTGATTATTACACTATTTTTTTACACTGGGTGTAGGGAGTGTAGGTAGATAATAGATCAAGAAAAGAAAATGGAGGACTTGATTCGATGGTAACTTTTGTCACAGGAAATAATAACGAAAAAGGCACGAGTTCCGAACAAGGGTGGTTCTTTTTGTACAGAGCTTAGTTTCATAGTCATTGTCGCCACAGAGAGTAGAGAAGGGATAAATCTTCTAATCCATTTTATACTTAGCACTTTCGTTTTGACCAGCAGGAGAGGAACAAGTCCTACAAAGATGTAATTAATTTAGTACTAAATACAGTACATCAAATTACAAGTATTTTTATTTCATAATGTAGTGGAACAAAAGGCACAAGCTTAGCGCAATGAAAAATCGCCTATTTTTTGTTAAAAGCTAGGCCTAAAAGTCCAAGGTCAGTGGAATCCATTTTATTCCCAATACAGTCGTTTTTGCAACAGTGTACTGCTTATGATACTTGCCTCGGGACATGTAGTTCTGAAAATTGAATTACTCTAAAATGCGTTGTTGTAGGTTTGTCAATTTCCTAAAAAAATTTAACACGTTTTTTACTTTACTTTAAGTTTTAATGCGTGATTTACAGTAAGCTATATAGTAATTAATTATATTTATATGTAGTGGAAAGATAAAACCATATCGAGCAGAATTTTTATTGCATTCTGGTATTAGTAAAAAATTTATTTTCATAAAAGAAACTAGCAGAGTATCCGTCCTTGTTTGGCGTATAAGTATAAAATGCTTACTGAAGTAATACTCGTGCTTTGCGTTTGCAATGGGGAACGACAATGTTTGAGAAAAATAATTAGGCTCTTTAAATTTACACTAGTATAATACATCTACCATACAGTAGCAATAATGATCTATTACTGCTTCTAACAAAAGAAAAAGAATAAATCATCAATTATTTGCATAATATCACAAATTATTTATTAAATTTAAAACACAATCATAAACAATCATATTTTGTAAGTTCTCATTGTGTATCACAGCTTTTTGTTTCTGCTTAATAAAAATTAGCTGTTGTTATAATTGCAAAAACATTAATAGTCCTGCACCCTGTTAGTAACCATTTAAATTTTTAATGATATTGAATATCATAGAATCAACTTGTTTTAGTTGAAACAGCTGACAAAATTCTTTTTAAATATGAATAGGCCTACTCATAAGGTTAACGTGGGAAACTACAGAGCCACTGGGGCGGAGCCCAAAAGGATTTTTGAGATAAGAATATGCCTATATGGTAGTCGGGAATGTAAGCTATCATCACACCAAATTTCAGATTAATCCGACCAGTAGTTAATGCTTGATTGAACTTCAAACAAACAAACACACAAACTATTTATAATATTAGTAGCATTAGTACGATGACACAAAATGCCAATGAAAAGAGCCAGTATAAGTTTTGGCTGTTTGTGACATAAACATAAACTATAGATTATTTCCATCGATAACATCGTTTAATCGTTAAACGAAAACTTTTGTCCAATTGTCATGGCTTTAGATTTTACTATTTGTCTAGTTCACCGCATTGGAAAGCAAAATTACCAACTATCAAAATACAATAAAACACTCAACTGCGCAATCTGCAGCATAAAAAATCGCACCAACTAATTGGAGACAAATCCGCAACCCCGCCCGTTATCGCTTATGGCGTACTCGCGGTTGTAAGACCATTAAACGCGAGGATAAAATGGAGTGGGCAAGTAGAGTGTGCACAGTGGGCAATAAATAGTGACAGTAGTGAGCAGACTATTGGTGCCCCCGTGAGCAAGTGGGGGAAACTGACCCCCTCCCTCCAGGTAGCTGTGCGCGGCCACCGTGAGCTTGAAACTCAAAGACTGCCAGAGATCCGAGCGCTTCGCATCGCTGCTAGACCTGTTTCCGGCCTCTGATTTGTTAGTGCGCGTTTTTGGTGTTCAACAAGGTTGGGTGTTGGGACCCTTGATTTTTTTGGACTGTGATGAATTGTGTAGTGAACTGACTTTGTAGTTTTTTTACAACGTTGACGGGTATATTTTTGAAGGAAGTGTTTCTGTAGTAAATTCTCACATAAACTATCTTCAGTTTACACTTGGCCAAGAATGACTGAAGTTCCTAGCTAGTCAACTATCCTTGGACGTCACCATGTTGATTTCCACCACCAACACTTCCACTGCCAACACCAACAACTCCTCCTCCACGACGGGTAAGTGCAGCGACTTCTCGGTCTCCAGTTTGTGCCGCGACCTCAGGACCTCCCCTGAGGCCAAGGAGGAGAACACCCCCGCCGTCATCGTCGGAGGTACAGGAACCAACTGGAAGCTGGACATTCCCGCTCACCCTCCGGGACTCAACCCTGCACTGCCTGCCACTCCGCCTCAGACACCTGGTAAATACATTCATCTTTATGTTCAATTTGACCACTAATGATCTTATGGTGTATCTTGTTGATTTTGAACGTACCACACATTTCATTGCATTTGATCTATACCACAGAAAAAAAAAAAAACTGCTACGTTTGCAAAGTTTATAAGCTGGCTCAGCTTCATATTTAAAAATACGGTAATATTTGTATTAACTTTGTCTACCAAGAGGGGTTCTCATAAATAAGAACAAGTTTGAGTACTCTGATTCAAACGACATATTTAACTTGATACTTTAATCAGGACAAACACTTTACCAACAGTAAACCTTTTCGTTTCCAAGAGTCTACCTCAGAGAAAATTTTTAGCGTGTATCCATACTCTACAGCATTACCGTATCTAAAATAAACATAAAACATGTCTTAGGATTTCGGTGAATAGTCAGCTTTTAATATTTCAAATTGAATGAATTGAATAAAAACAGTTATTTTAAAATCACTTTATATTAAAAGAAACACAAGCATTTGCAGTTATAAATGCATCGGTTAATGCGAAGTCAGTTAAGAGTTGCGACTGTATTGGGTGATATAACGCAATTTGTATGGTTGGCTGAAAGTTTAGGCTTAGGTATAAATTCTTTCTCAGATACATTGAAAGTACACAATTGAGGGTTTTTAAGGAGAAGAATTTATTCAACTAATGTTTGTAGAACTCAACTAATATATTTGTTACAAAGCGATGATACCCAAGAATAGATCATTCGCAATGTTCTATATTCTTTCAATGAAATATAAAATACATGAAGGAGCCTCAACATACTGTGGTAACTTACTAGTAGTTCACAAAAAGTAAATACTGTAAAACAATAAGATATATTAATTGAGAGTCAAAGAGTTTAGCGAGAATATTTAACTAATGACATGTCGACAATACCAATTAGATATTAAAATTTTACAGGTTTAATAATATAGATAATTACATGTATTAATTACACCCCTTTATAGGCATAAATACCTTAAAAAGCAGCACAACGTTATTTGTTGAATAATTGTTACTGTTAGGAAATAAAAGAAAAACAAAAATTATTTTCAACAATGCAATAATATTTTTGTTTTTAGCACATTCTTATTAAATAGTTTTTTGGTAGTACATGGGGTGGGTGGGGGGGGGGGAATTTAATTCAATCTTATGCCTGTAAAATGTTTAAATGTATTGAGCACGACTTTCAATATCGTAGTAAATCTTATTGAGCTTTCTCAAACCCATGCATGTAAAATGTCTAAAAAAATTCAAAATTCTCAAGTTTGTTTTTGTTTAAAAAACTTCTATAGAAAATTCTATAAAATAGGATATTATATTTATATGTGATGGATTTGTCTATTCTCATAAATATAATATAATCTACAGTATAAAAGTTATTTAGGTTCTATATTTTATTGTTTTAATGCTATAGTTCGAATGCATAGATGTGTTAGTGTATGGTTGGTGGCCTGTTTTATCATTTGGGTTATTGACAAATTATGTTGCCGTCGAACTTGCGTATCAGTTTCATCAAAGATTTAGTGTTCAGAATTTCAGTTTCGTTGACGGTTTTACTTGTCCTGTTATACAACATGACCAATGATGAGGTTGTGAAACTTTTAACTCAGCAATTATATTTAAACAAAATATTATACTATCTTATTAAATTATATAAGGATATTAAATATGTAAGATTAAGTAATGATCACTGAAGATTACTATTTCATAACTATTTGTAGTCTTTATGCAAATGAATTTAGGTGCAGTTTAAACGTAACGAGTAGAGTATTGTAAAGAGTCCTGAAAACATATAACTAAAGTTTAGAAAGTAAACTTAATTTAATATTAGTAAATTTATACTTTTTTGACTAAAATAAAACAGGGTTTATCATCATTAGTTCATTTTATAGTTTTTATTTTTTAGTTTTTTATATCTGTAACTATTATTGGATCTTATTAGGTCAATACCATTAAAAAGCACATGAATCTAATTTTTGGATTTAAATTTATTTTTGGCAATGGTCAGTTTATGTTATTTAACATTTCATTGAACTATTGAGGACATTTCAAATCACGATTATTAAAAACAAGTTTTTGGAAACAGATTCCAGATTTCGAAACGCCGTGGAAACATGTCCTACTAATCGCGATGGAATACATTCGCAATAATTCCTCAAATAGAAAAGATCTCGATGTAAAACCAAAGAACGCTAATAGCTTTACCCTATTTTTCTTGATAAAATGTTATTAGTTGTGTTACAATAATCTGTTGATTACATTACAAACATTGTAGTTTTTTAAATAACAGTATACTGAGTATACATATAGATTTTTAATTGGTAGCTATGAGCGTATAAATTAATTAACGTTTGTTTAAATGACTTTCGAGTAAAAAAGAAAGAGTCCTTTCAATGAAAAACAAATCAAAGAAAATATTCAAATTACCAGTGGTATGAAATTTTAACCATGATTATTATACTAAATTAGGTGTAAAATACAATTTACCTACGACAGTTTTTTAAAGTAGTCATTTCAGTTCAGTTCTTAGAATTGAAAAGTTTCACTTAACAGCTGTTTACTTTCATATCAGCATAGTTTCATTTCATATCAGCATGGTTTTTCTCAAATCAACACGGGTAACGGACCAATGAGGTTCAATGATTGAGAGAAAAGAAGTACAATTGTAATACTTCGAACGTCAACTAATCAGCTGATCAGCTGATCAGTTGACAATTTTAATTGTTGATCCGGCTTGTTCCTGTTGATACTCGCGTATTCTTAACCTAAGTTGGTGGAAGTTAAATGAAGGTTGATTTTAAAATATCAGTTAGTGAAAGTGATGTTGACGAGATAGAAATAGTCACAATAATAGAGCATAAACTGTTTGTGCTAATCTTTTGCCACCAAAATCAAAACAAAGGTACCATATGCAATTACATACCAGCAATTATTAAATTGACAAAACAAAATAAGGTTAAATTGATAAATGAAAATGTTCTTCTGGTTTATTTTCAAAACCTCTTAACCACTTTTTCACCCAACTCGTTGTGAACCACATATTCGATGCTGAGATCTAACTGTAAATTAACTGTTTCACTATATTATTCAGTTGTCCAAAAATATATGCAATATTTCCCTAATTGTACCTGATACTGTATTTATGGTAAGAATGCTGCTAGCAGAACCTATTGCCTGAAAAAGTAACGTATTATTTAACAAAGTTTTACAAACACGTAATTACATGAAATCAGCTGATTATACAATAAAAAAAGTCGTTGCATTACTTTCAGTGACAATGACAATAAACGAAAACATAACCTCTCTAGGAAGTTATGAGTAGTGATTGTTAGTAATAAAAAACCAGATTTTTAGTAATTAAAAAACGGTCGTAGGTAAAGTAGTGTACGCAACTCGCATTAATAGTCTTTACGACACTCGTAGAAGTTTTTAAAAAATTAAAAAATTTTCTACTCGTGTCGTAAAGACTAACTTAACGCAATCGTTGCGTAAACTACTATTACTTTAGATTACAACAATTAACGTACATATTATTAGGCCTATTCCGTACAATAATTTCGATACATATGTTAAATATACAGTATATATATAGATAAGGATCTATTGGTTTTCTTTCGTATTCCAAGTAAAAAACCTATATCTTCGAACATACCTATACATGATCACGTAATTGCTACACCAAAATAAAAATAAAACATTTGATTTTAATTTAATAACCAATGTGTTACAAACAATGCAATGCTATATCGAAAATTGCTTTATTCATTCTTAATAAATTACCTTTTAAACGTGTAAATAATCTTAAGAATAAAACATTTATCGAAACATTTTAAACGCTGCTTTTAGCGTATTGAACAAATTTGTATCACACTCATTTGACATACATATCTTGACATGACGAGGATTTGCTTCCACCAAGAGGGTCGGGCACACTGGGTAATCTACATGTGACTTATGCTCTCCCCTCCTTTCTAAGGGATGATAACACAGCTGTTATCGTAACACGTGAGTTGCATGCAACTTAGCAGAGTGTTAAGCGCTAACCCATATACACATATGTTAACCACTCTACGAAGGGTCTTAAGGGTAAATAAATAGATGGAGAGATAGGGATGTCATAAGAAAGGTATAGAGAAGGAATTCACATTTGTGTTGCCTCCAAAGCTGATTCTGAAAGTATAAAAAAGGCCACTCGTGCTTCTATTGAGCTGTTTAACTTCAATGGGATAAGGTACTATTCATCCTGTGAGATGCTATAAAGCTGAATATAGAAGCTGATAACATAACACATTTTAACATATTTTAAAACTTCCATAAATTTTTAAATGGATAAATGTAAGACTGTATTATCAGCGAATAAAAGAAAAAAATACACCTTACTAGTTTAAGATTTTCTAAAATATAAAATCTACGTTTGTTGTTGTTGCTTGAGTTCTTGTAGGTAATATGCTCGTGTCCTTACGCATTTCCCCCCCTTGTGTGGCATCTTAATAAAAGTAAGACAACAACAACAATGTTAAATCTGATATAATCAAAGTTCTTGAAACTGAGACCTAAAAAAAGTAATTTTTAGTTGTATTGTAAACCTTTGTGGTTTTTCTATCCCATGTGCACTAAACTACTATTATTCCTCTTTTATTTGAATAAGCAAAGTTCTTAAATCCAAGTCCTTTTATTTGTTCTGTTTTACAAACTAGGTACAGTACAAATTGAAAAAAAAGATAACACTAAAGATATTCAGAAGTTGTAGCCATTTTACTAACTAATTTTAACCAACAATAAGAAACATAAAAATATATATTGATGATATCACTTGTGAATAATTTTATCCTACAATAGTCCACGAATTTCAAGTCTTTCAACCATATTATATTTATATTGTAATAACAGGTACATTTATTTTTTATATGACTCTTGGTCAAATATTTCAGACAATGTAGTCCTTACTTCTGGACGTTTGTGTCCTCTGGAAATTTCGAGAGTGCAG